CCAGTGGGAGAGTGTCAGGCTTTAGTCTGTCGATCCATTATACAACTAGCTTGCCAGACTCCACCATCTTCTCCTTAATGTAATTTTCCTTCAGAAAGTGTTCACTACAAACCCTGCAGTCAGAGTCCATCGGAGGCTCTTTCTCGTCAGTGTCACTAATGGAGCATCAGTACTGTTCTCTGTTTCAGCAGCAGATTATGAAAGCGGACTGTTTCATGGCTTTAACTATAAAATTCATTCTCCAGGAGTTCTGCAGTAGTGGCCTCCTTTTCTTCTTCTGATGATCTGTGGCTCCACAGTCTCCATCTTTCACTGTCTTTATTGTCCACAGTCTGTCTTTCACTGTCTGTCTTTTACCGTCTTGTCTTTAAACTTACAAGCTAACCCACCCCATGAAGCCACTGGGGTTCGTACTACAAGAGGGCAATGCCCTTTGAAGAGAAGACACAAAACAATCTTCTTTTTCCTTTTATATGTTTACATTTTTCATGTTTGTTATACACCTTCTGAACAGAGTAGAAACACATGTAGTGAATTATGCTAACTTGACTGAGTGCTTCATTGTCCCTTTAAAGAACGTTTATTTTATCAGAGATGAGAAGGAGCGTTTTTATAAGAAAGATGGCAATATTATAGTAACCTTCTCTGGTGTTAAATCAAGTTAAAAACACAGCAGGCTTAATAAAAGCATCACTTCAAATTGATTTTGTAGATGCACAGATATGAGACACAAACACCTCCTTCTCTCTGTTACAAGGCAGAGTCATAAAGATAACAAGAATTTTTATTCTAAGCATATATAATTCTGAAGTCTTATTTTTCTTGCTGTGGAATGTATATGTGTGTGTTCTTAATTATATTTGATGTTTCCTTTCATGCATCTTGAAATTCTACAGTTTGTATGCATTTTTACACTTTTTATGTTATCTCAGGAACTGTACGAGATAAACATTTCATGTTTAATATAATTTTAATCAACTGTTCAGTGGGATTTTAGATTTGTAATGATCATACATATTTAACAATTGGATCTGTACATTTAAGTAATAAAGATATTTGGCCTCTGACTGTCTTTCTTTGTGTTCTGCAGACTTAATCTAGAATTAAGTTGTATATCAGGGGGTACTGATGTAACAGTTTTATTTAGAGAACTGTACATGCATAGTAAGGCACGTTACATTCAGGATCAGCAGCATTGGTTGTCAATATGCAATGGATTTATCAGTGAATATTTATTAGGATCCCTGTTTCAGCCCCTTCCTGCCTCCCTTTTCCTCTCCCTCTCTCCCAGCCTGAGCCTCAGCTTTTGTCTCTGTCTCTGTCTGTGTCTGTCTCTCTCTCAGCCCTCAGTCAACCACAGTCATTGACAGCTGCAACTCCTGACTCAACTGCTCCCAATCACCTCTTTCCCATAAAGAGCAACTCTTCCCTTCACTCTGCACCAGGTCGTCATTCCATTCATTAATTTCACAGCCGTCTGTCAACTTGTCTCTAGCTTGCATTCCCCCAGCAAGCCTTCTTCTGCCACCGGACTCCAACCTGTCTCAAATAGATTTGATTAATTTATTAATATTCAATCTGGAATGTCAGAAGTTAATTTCCGAATTCATGTTCAGTTTTCCCCCTGAGTGTAAACGAGTGCATAACATTTTGCTACATATTGCTTTTCTTGGTTTAGCTGTATGAGGCTGTTACGCTACATTGAGGGCACAGCCAGGATACACCAGTACATCTTTGCTTAAAGCTCCTTCACTAAGTGTCTTTGATCCTCAAGATGCAGTTTAGGAATTGAGACATTCTTTGTTATGATGCATCAAGACTGATTTTTTTTTTTTTAAACTTTATGTATTTCTTACAAGAAGAATGAATACAACAACGAAGACATATGAGAAATTTAAGGAGAAGCTGCAGAAACTCAGTGTGTGAATGTGTGTTTATTACGCTTATCATTGTCATTGCCCTTCAGTTTCTAGGTTGCTTAGATGCAGGTTTGTTGTTCAAGATTTAGTTTATCATCAGCATCAGATTGTATAGCAAAATTACAGAGGCTGTCTTCTTATGGTACTCAAAAAAAGGCAAACTCTTTCATGAATAAACAATAAAGAAATAATATTATTTTAAGGTGATGTGGATGATGAATTCAGGCCTCATTTTTATGGCTGTTAGACAGTTTTTGTTTTATTCTTTCAGCTGCTTGATGGTATTAAATGATTTTGGGAGCAAGTAAAGAACAAATGTTAAAACATGATTCAAATTAGTAAATAGGCTTATTGCAAATCTTTTAAGGACAACAATCAGGCTATGAGGCTTTACTGTTTTCATATCGTTTTATATCATTCTACAAAGGCAAACAGAACAATGAAATTGCTTTGAAATCCCTTGCATCTTCCCCTCTTATTATCTGTGCACCAAGCTCCACTGGATCTTCTAATGATGATGACACAGTACCAATTGACCAGTAGGTGGAGCTTTAATGCATGCTGATCTCTTATCTGAAACATGACCTGCTCCAGTTAAGAGTTCAGCATAAGTTACCATGGAGATGTACTATACCCCAAGAAGAAGTGAACCACTGTTGTAGCACTGAAAACCCAGAGATAAACCTGAAATTATCTCGGTAACCTTAAACCCTGCTATGTAGTACAGACCTCAGGACTGACAAATGTGTATATATTGTGCATATCACTCATTAATATATATCACTTTATTGATATAGTACTATTTTGTGTACCACGACTCTTTGATACTTCACACTGCAGGTGTGTGTAAAATAATTGTGTGACATCTGGGCAGTACGGTGGAATGGGAGTTGGCCTCACAGCTAGAAGATCCTGGGTTCGATTCCCAGCCTGGGGCCTTTCTGTGTGGAGTTTGCATGGGTTCCCTGTGCAAAAACATGTTGAGGTTAATTGGTGATTCTAAATTGTCCATAGGTTTGAATGTGAGTGCGCTTGGTTGTCTGTCTCTAAGTGTAGCATAAATATAAACTATATATTATCATGAACACTGTTCTGCTCAACTGACAGAGAGGCTGTGGCTTTAAACTGACATTCCTAGGTGAGGATGTCCCATTTTGTTAAAAACCTGCTGCTTTGACTCCCCCAATCAATTGCAATTGCATTCCACTGAAAAAGTTACACAGAGTGCAACCCAGTGAGGATTACACAGAGTACCTCTGAATGGAACAGATTATTTGAATTCATTTTCTCCCTCATAAACATTTTTTAAAACAGATTTTGAAAAAGATGTTTTAAACTCTGCAGTTTACATCCATGTATATAAGTTGGCAGGCTTTTCTTCATAGCCTTTCTTTTCATAGTGCTACTAATAGGGGGGAAAAATGTTTGTTCCCAAATCATATAAAACTGCTCAATGTTATCGATTATTGTAAACTAAATCATTTTTAATATGGTTAAAGAAAAAAAAAACATCTTGTAAATTACAATTGCACGCATAGCCAACTGTACATCACTCATCAGTTATTGAGAAATGCTGAACAATGTTACCAAGCATATTGCGGTTAGCAAGAACATTCCAGTAGAAAAAAAAACAATGGAAATGTGACAGAAACAAGACACTGTAAAGTTAAACTACATAAATAAAATAAGACAATAAATCAGAGGACTAAAAAAATGACCACTGCATAAAGACATCAGTTAGCTGAGTCCAGTGTATTTAGATGGGGCTGGAGAAGAGACCCCCTTGCATGAGGTGCAAACTCTGAGGCCATTTATTACTGCAATTAATTTCAGTTTTGAACAATGCAGTGTATCGAATCAAACACCTCTGATTTGTAACCCAAGAAAGAATTAATTAGGTTGTATCGTTCACATAATAAACATAATTTGATTCCATTAAAAAAATAGTGCACTGTTCCAGTGTCTGAAAGCATGTACAACAGTCCTCTAAGGTGCAGCAATTAACATGGTAAGATTTTCTTCTTTAGAGCTTACATGCTCTGATTTAAACTATTAAAATATTTGTATGCTATATGAAAACAAATGATAAGCAATATGTACATAAAATAGTTTGGTGCACCAGAAAAAGCAATGAAAAAGAAATTCATTGTGGTTTGGATTGAGGTCTGAAATTGGTGACAGGGAGGCCTTGTGATTAGAGTTACCAATTACAACTTTGATCCATACAACAGTGTCCAAAATGTCCTAATCTTCAACAAGACAATTAAACCAAACATGTTCAATAATTCTCAGTCAGAACTGTCATGTAAGTGCCTGTGATGTGATGTTTTCTCATGGAATGAAGAAATATTATTCGGATCAGAAGGTGAACCTGAACTGTAAGTGCAGACACACAGAACAAGACACCGAGAATACTTTTTTTTTTTTTTTAAACTTTCAGTGAAAAAATAGCTGTCTGTCAATAACAGAAAAATGTCTAACTATATACACATTTTAATTTTACCAAAGCAACAGGATACTTCAAACCAAAGATTCCTATTTGGAAACAGTAGATACGAAAAATATTTCTCAGCAGGGCATTATACACAGTTAATACACCCCAATTGTTCTTAGAAACATGTCTCACAGTGTATTTTGTCCCTTATCATCCTAGAACATACATTTCTGTCTTATGAACAGAAAATACTGAGCTTAATAGTAACATATTGAATATTCAGAGGTGATGAGAGGTGTCATGTCCACCCCCTCCCCCGGTTTTCTGACAGTGCCAGTTTCAGATTTGGTGTAACGAATACTTCTTGGACAACCATTACCTTTGTTTCTTTCAGACTTTTGCAACAATGTTGGTGTGAAACGGTTGGTGTGTAGCTGATGGAAGTTCAACATATGGCTGGAGTCTGGAGACCACAGCATCAGGTTCTTTAGTGCCAGAACACAGCAAACGTCAGGAGTACTGCATCTGTTTAGTACTGGAGGTGTGTTGCTTTGATGCCCACAGCCAATCACGTGACACAGAAGGACTCCCCCATTTCATAGTACACAAAAGTGGGACGACATTAAAACATGACGTCCTCCTGGTTTCTAGATAGAGCTTCTGCGTTTATTGAGTCTTCTATAGGCGCTGATGCTGTGTAAGCCAGTAGACACTGAACTGATGCCTGAGGGGTGCTGCAGACTACACACACAACCATTAGAGTGGAGGGGGTTAGAAAAAGACTCTCCCTGCTCCATGTAGGTGTCTGAGGTGGAGAGGTCACGTGGGATGATCATGGGTATGGAGTATTGCAGTTTCTCTCTGCTCTTGTACCAAAGACAGGAACACATGGACTGAAAGTGGAGCACCTCCGCGTAAACATTACGCAGACCCCGGCTTGCTGCTCCTCCCCCATTCCCTCCAACTGCATTCCCTCCACCACACCCAGATGGTGTGGAGGAGGAGGAGGCCATGTCTACAGAGCAGTTGATGTGTCCGCCTGCCTGACCGTTATGTGCGAGAAGAGCCCTGTGCTCAGCATCCCTCTTTTCGTCCTCAGCGTTCATGGTCATGAAGCGCAGCACTGCTAAATTGAGGAAAGCTCCAATCACAGCCAGACCCGTCAGGATGTAGATGAAGCTGAAGGCCACGTATTCCGGCTTGGTCTGAAGAGCGTGCTCATTCTGCAGTGCTACATAGTCCCCAAAACCAATGGTGGTGAGTGTGATGAAGCAGTAGTAGTAGGCTTGAAAGAAGCTCCATCCCTCAAAGTGAGAGAAGGCCAGGGCCCCCACACACAGTGTGCTCATACAAGATATGAAACCAATGATCACCATGTTGGCCATGGAAACCTCAGTATGCCTCATTCCAAGGCACTTCTTCAGGCGGTGGAGCAGGTACCTAACAAAAGTGTTGATCCGCTCACCCACACTCTGAAACATGACCAAAGTAAGTGGGATACCCAGGAGGGCATAGAGCATACAGAACACCTTTCCTCCATCTGTGCTGGGGGCTGCATGGCCATATCCTGAGGAAAACAGGGAGTAAGAAGCAGGGTTAGTGGTGCAGAACTAATTAAATCTATACTGCAGAGGTTAGGGGTCTAAGAAGGGAAGGCTGGAGGCTGGAAAGATAGTAAAACCTGAACTAGACAGATTGACAGATCATTGGTATTCTCTGAGTAGCTCTTCTGATAAATTCAAAGACTCTTCATTTCACAGTGGCAGAATGCAATTGGAGATGAGATTGCACAGCAGTGTGGCAGGAATGGTGAAGTATTAATGTCATGTATGGGAGAGACAGCTTGAATAATTCATTGACAATTGGTCTCTTTGGAGTGGCTCCAGCTAATGAGTACATTTGCACCTAATAAGGCCTTAACATTTTTCCAGAGAAAACAAACAGGACGCCAGTGGTTGCTGGTGCTTTTTTTGTTTTATAATGAAATTGCTCTTTGTTCTACAGTTCTTTAAATATATTAATTATAACCCCTCACCCCTTGAACTGTTACATAGCCCAAAGAAAGAACAGAAATTCCCCATAAATAAGCAGTTCAAGGTACAGACCCCAGAATGTCGAAGGTTGGAGTAGACATTTTCCATTAATTTATCCCCCATAAAACAGAGGATGACACATAAACTACTCACTATGTTAACATATTGTCAATGGTATGTGGTTGCCACTAGGAGAGTACCAAAGAATGCTCACCACCAACCAGTTTTAAATATGATCTAACTCATAGAGAGAATCTGATTGAACGTATACTGAGTGGATTTCTTTGTGGATTTTCATGTTAAGTGTCAATGTTTTGTCTCAGCTTCTCACTTCGATTGTCCAGCAGGATATAAGGCGATTGCATGCAACATCTTTAATGGCTGAAATCTGTTCCCCACATGTTGACCTGTTGCACACAGGAACTGACAGATGACACCCCTGATAACAACGGATCATCAAATGGAACAGGTTGAACAATAGCTTGAATTGAATTACTCCAAGGCTAATTTAATTCTTTAGGGTCTGGTTTTATTGTTGCACTGTTCTCTGTGGTTGGACCATCTGTTTGTCTGGTGAAAAATCTGTTAAAAGCTTTTCCAGTCGTGTCACCAATGACAGCCATTGCAACTGAAGTATCTCTTTGTAAAAGGAAAAATCTGACCTTTTCACCGAGCATACAGGCATTTTTCTTCTTTGTGGCTTTGCGCATTTCATTCCCACAAAGTTATTTATCCCATTTTCCAGTGATGGAGAAGTGACTGACGGGTAGTCTTCTTAAAAAAAAATAAAAAAATAACAATTTTTAAGCAAAGATACAGAAACAGTTCTTGGGGAACTATTAATCCTAATTATTCCCATAGTATCTGTAGAACAGTGCTTCCTACATTTAGTCCCACTGCTCAGTCAGATTAACTTGTGATCTTTTTTTGTTGATGTGAAATTATTTTCAACTTGAAGATTTGTTCAAACTGTGTAAATTGTTATGAACTTTCAGTGTTTGGGCTCAGCATTCTATGACCCAGTGTGGCACATCCTGGACATTTGAAGCATTATTCCATTGCTTAAGCTTTCTACAACAATTGTTTATTGGATAAATAGCTGGCATGGCTCAAAAATATTACTCAAGCCAACATCTACCAATCAGCTGTTTGATCAGGTGAGACCACGTGGTGACTGAAGACCAACTGTGGCACCTGGTTTCAAAAACTGCATTTGTCTTGATCTCATAAAATGATTGTTGCCTATGTGTACTTGAGATCAGAGCGAGTCCAGATCAAGTCAGACAGAAATCTAATCAGCATGTATTGAATTAAGATCATCAGTGATCTACTCTGTGCAGGCCTAGCTTATCTCAAATCAGCATATTGAATAAAATAAATTAAATCTGACATGATAACCATTTCCAGATTCAACCACACCTTCAGATCCCAAATGAAAGCAGCGAGGCACACAGAAACGATTATTAGTTTAACTAATTGTTGTTGGGCAGCTGTGGCTCAGGTGTTAGAGTGAGTCGGTCAATGATTGAAAGGTCGGCGGTTGAATTCCGCCCTGTCACCCGTGTCATGGCCGTTGTGTCCTTGGGCAAGACACTTCACCTACCTTGCCTGGCATGAATGCATATGAATGGATTGTTTGAGGTCGTGGTCGGAGGGGCCGTAGGTGTAGATTTGCAGCCACGCCTCTGTCAGTCTGTATGGCTACAATTGTAGCTTACCACCACCGAAATGAATGTGTGTGAATGTATAATTGTAAAGCGTCTTTGAGTGCCTAGAAAAGCGCTATATAAATCTGATCAATTATTATTTTAACTGTTCTCACCGGATGGTATAATAAAGGAAAGAGTCAATGAATCCATTGCATTATTATTATTATTATTATTATTCATAAATGTACAGAACTGCTGTAACTTACATGTAAACTAACTTGAAAAGTGAAATGTGGACGTCAAGTTTTGGAGGCTAGTGAAGTAATATCATGATAATCCCCATACCAAACTCTTAATTAATGAGACAGTGATTCATCCTTCCTGTAACCCTAACCCTACATATTGCTGTTTGGGACCCAGACACAGTATTACTCATTCAATACGTCACACCTTAGGTGGACTACAAATTTCTCTGGGCCTCCAGCTCTGCTCTGTAAATATGAATGTGTTATTTTTGTGAATATATTTTAAAATCCTTACCTTCTGAAGAAAATGTGCATTATTACTTCCATTCGAGAAAGTGCATCTTTTACAGTTACATAATCTTGTTTTAAGATGTTTGTGAGATATTTCCACACTAACCAAAAAAGTAGATCACATGGTTTGACCCTTGAGCAACCCTTTCTGCTCCAGGGGTACCACAGTATGGCTGATCCTGTGCTCTGAACCCCACCTTCCTAACAAGCTCGGATATAATACAGCATTTTCTTGTAATCTGAGTAATGACAATGAGGTGAGCACAGAGGCTGTGCTACAGGACTGTCAGGAGCTTTCAGGAGCAGGTAGTGGCTTGTGGAGATGTGAGGATGACCGGAGTGACAGCAGTGCTTCTCAACAACAGACGCAGGAACTGGAGGCGACAAGGCCAACAGTCAGAGTGAAGAGGCCAACATGACAGGTTCATCCTCCCAGAGTCTCTTCTGCTCCCCCAACACTGACAAAGCTATCATGAGACACATTGTCTCCATGGCTTGCCATGGCACGCAAAGGGAGCCACCAGGGTCATTCTGTTTACACAGATTAGTCACTGGCAGAGAAAAGGTGGAGCCTCACTCCTTCTATGTATAAAACAATGGACCAATGAGATTTGGCTGACATCTGAAGAACCCAAGACTCTGTTGTCTGAATCTTTAGCATTAATATTGAACACACTGGGTTTTAAAATGGCAGTGTCATCAAGAAAGAATGATTGCAACTATGTCCACACATTTCATTGATAGATGGGGAAAAACAGAGAAGAGACATCTGGGAAATTACAGGCTATCAGGTTTTACCTAAGGAAACAGTAACTCCCTCTAAAATTCGTTCAGATTCTCAGTTTAAGGATTGTCATCAGGATATACCATACCAGTATCAAAAACTTTTGCCACAACCCTAGGCTGATTTTCTCTAAACTAATTTCTAGTATTATTCAAAACTAACAAACAGCAAAGCTTTTAAATGTCAGCAGAAGACAGGTGCACCATACTCTAAATTCTCATTCTCTCCTTGCTGCTGCCTCTCACTACAGCATTAGAATTTACAACTATTTACACCAATGCCTCTAGAAACAGGCTAGTGCTAATTTAGATGCTTTTAAACAAATAATTTTGCAGAGAGGAGAAGAACTCCCTTATGATGGAATAGCCATCCTAAAACACTGTCAGCATTTTGTAATTTGGTGATTTGATTTCAAGATTTCAGTCCTGACTTTAACACATTTTTACCCTCTCATTCATTTTTACATTTTTAATCCTACCATATTCACTTTAGCAGATGGGTGCTCCACTTTATTCAGTGTTGTTCTATATCTACCCTCAATCATATTTTCTAAATTACATTTGTGGTATCTTCCAAAACTTCTCATCTGCAGCAATGCAAATGTAACACGAGTGCTGGTTGACAATTCACCTTTTAGCAGTCTGATTGCTAGTTTATCTCCAAAGATGAAAGCTCAGTATATACAGTTCATGTCCCTGGGTGTCTGCCTCTAAAACCTAACATCACCCACATTACTCACTGCATCTAAAGTCTTCATTAGACTCAATTAATTAGGCAGGGATACAGGCTTTGAAAATACATCAAAGAATGGCATAATGTTGCTCTTTGGGCTCCAGTTTTCTGTCACTCAATTAAGTTTTCAGGCAAATTACCAGGCACAATTTATTCTCACCATCAAGAAGAGGAACATAACCTATTCATCGACCTGCAGCTTATCTTACAGGGAAGAATTCTCAAAGAGGCGTTACATTAATCGGGGGCTAATTTATCAGTAATCTGTAAGAAGGGTTGCATGTAACTAAAATGAATATGCAAAATAGTTTCACAGGTTTAAAAAGTTTCTTTTATTTTTCAGGTGCCTTTTTTTTTTTTTTAAAATAAAATACAGAAAATGTATTTGGGATTGCAAATTATGTTACACACAATTCTATCCAGATGGAGTGCCACACTGGACTCTGGGATCCAGTGTCTGGAGCAGAAATGCTAGTGGGAGTGCTGCACTCTCTAGGGCTGATTGACAATGTCCTCAGACATATCTGGGCGTTATCCTCTATCCCAGCTGACCCAGGACAATGGCAGGGTACACCCTGGACAGGTATACAATTTAGCACACCACAATACAATGGTCCATTTACAAACTTACTAATAATTTATCACCTAACTCTGCAGTTCTCCCATTTATATGAAGCACTTTTGCATCTTTAGCTTTTTGTGGTTTTATAGCTGCAATTTGAATGTAGTTCAGTCTTACCACAACATAAAACAACATACTAAGCATAGCATGATTAAGGACTTAAGCTAGGAAAGCGTTAATAAAACTAAAAAAAAAAAAAAAAAGTATGGGA